AAATAATGTAATTTTAAAATCGAATATCTTACTTTAACATTATAAAGAAATAATGAGAAAAGTAACTAAATTGTAACATTCTAAGTAATGATAATTTGTGTATTCTAAGTAACGGTAAAACATTATTTCTTGAAACTGGTAACATGTAAATGGTAACGAATTACTTTTTATAAAAAAGTAACGCTTACAATAACGCTTTATAAAGTAACGTTTCTAATCCTTTTCTTGATTAACGACATGAATTTTCTCTTTGCAAGTTACAGAACTGCCTCTGACGGACTCGATTTCGACGAAATCGACGACGGCGGCAAAGCGATCTGTGCCGACGGATGCACCAATGCTGAACTACATCTTTGATACGCACAGCACTTTGAACAAGCATCAGCATCATCACGATCACAAATGGGGCCCTCACTTCGAAGGCGAGAGCTCCAACATTACCGTACAAGCGGGTGCTAGTGTTACGCTCGATTGCAGAATATCGTTGCTGCAGGACAAAACCGTAAGTGTGAAAATGTACACTCAGTCATACTGTTCGCTCCTTCCCTTCGTGCTTCATATCTGGTTGCTCACAGCTTTTAATCACTGCTGCAAATGCACAGCGCAATAATTCATAACTAATCTCAGAATATTTTGCCTTATTACACCTCGGGTAAGCTACGTTTAGCTTATTATGATTAATCTGCTACGTTGGCGCGTTTGTACATTTTATATTTCAAGGAACAAATTTAAGAAGAAATTCACATAATCGCCGCTGGTGACCCGGTTTTCGCACGCGTAATCTGCACATAATAATTTAGTAGTAAATTCGTATTCGTAAAACTTTATTTATACAAATTTTCCTTGATATTTTATGATTATCTACTCAAATCTTATGTTAAACGTAAGAGTTTTAAAGATAATCGTGCGTATGTTTTTTTAATTGAATAATAATATTTTTATTTCTATTTTTATAATAATTAAAAAAATTTGATGATATACAAAAACAGTATGACGACATTTAATCTGCTGCAAAACCACCATCTTATGAGTATGCAAAGCTACAAATGACTTTATTGCCAAGTACTACCATGTTCATTTGGTTTGCGTGTATTGCTTTAATGCAGTTACAGCAGCGTTTCTGCATTATCCACGCCCAAAACTATAGAACAAATTATGCGGTCAGATATCGGTTGTGCGCGCATGAATCTCTCTGGCGCTCGAACAGATAATATCCTGTTTCGTAGCAGCAATTTATAATATAACTTATAGTTAACCAATACCACCAACTCGCAAATTAAATTGAAATTAAATATCTGTTTATGTACATTTATAAACTTTAGACATTTTTATCAAATTTTATAAAAGCATTTCCAATAAATAAATTACTTTTTATTTCATTAATAGCATAAGGCCTGAAAAAATTTGGCTATTAAGATTTAAAAGCCTTACTTGAGCAAGATAATTTTTTGCGAATTCTTAATATTTTTAATTCTGTAATATCCTGACAAGCAGCATTATATAGATCTAATACTAAATGTTCTACTAGATACATATATTACTTATGAATGAGATTTTGCATGGGAGAAATAAATATGTAAATATTAGAAGTTTATTAAAATAAAAGAAGTAGATTAATATATTTTATTTATACTTTTAGGTCCGGTTTTTCATTATTTGGTTAATTTGTGATTAATTTATAATTAAGCTTAACCTGATATTTTATTCAATAGATTTTTATCATAATATTATAGATGAAGCCTAATAGATAAAATAGCCATAAGTTAATCAGATAATGAAAAATCGAGCCTATATAAATTACCTTTTTTACACCTCTAGATAAAATAAATTTGGTACACTCTCGAGAAAAACAGAAGTTAAAAACTGATGATAACTTGTATCTTTATATATATATATATATATATATATATAT